TGGTCCCGTGCCTGCCCCCGCGGCGCCTGCCGTCCTCGTCTGCTCCCAGAGCCTGTGCTGGGCGCCCGGGGAGGGCAGGAGAGCGGGAGGAGAGCACTGAGCTGCTGGTGGGACAGGGAAGATTTCCAGGGTCCCTCATGGAGTTGGGAAAGAGAAAAGCCCCAATAAAACACGAAAAAGCAGAGTGATGGTTGTGGTCCGTGTTTACAGTGGCAGGAGTTTGAGGGCTACCCCAGGTGATGTAAAGACACCAGACCCCTCCAGAAGCTTAAGGAAAGGGCTTGTGCAGCTCTTTCATTACTGAAATATCACTGCATCCGCGTTGCTACGCAGCGAGGCGTGAGATCCCCTACCGCTGCCTGCAGCAGGCAGGGGCGCGACAAAGAAGGCCCAGGGTTGCAAGCCAAAGCCGTCGACATGTTGTTTGAGGACAGGGAACACCTCGGTGCACCCCGTGCCAGCAGCCGGTGCTATGCAGCTTCGCCACAGATTTCGTAGCCCTGCCTGGTGTTGGGCAGTGGCAGGGGTAGCATTTCCAGAGCTGTTCCCACCCCCAAACTTCCCCCTGCTCTTCTCCTCCCTGTGCTTAACAGAAGCTGGTTCTCCGTGAAAGCCTCCTGAGGTGCTTGGTGAGTACCACCGCCCCGTGCCCCGGGCAGTACTGCCCCTCTTTCTGGGACGAGCGTGGGTACACCAGGCGCCTTCCAGCTTTGCAGCTGCTGTGGGCAGCTGGGATTTCTAAGAAAGGATTGATTGGCATTTGGCCCTTACGCCAAGTATCGCTTACTGGGGTAAACTGGTGGCAGCCTTCTCATTTATCAGCGTGACCAGGCTGTGAGCAGCAACAAACCCTGGGTGCAAGCCGAAGCATGCTTCTGCACCATGGGGTCATGCGGTAAAAACCCACACCGACCCAGTTAATCAGGCTTGCTTTCTATAAGTGAGAGGAGCCACAGCCACAGCTAAGGCTTTTTTTTAGGAACTGTGTGTGTTTACAACTTGCTGCGCTGCTGCCCCTACAGCCCGCAGGGCGAGGAGGCAGAGGAGGTAGCCAAGGAGCTCTGCCCGGCCTCCCACCCTGCGGCTGCTGCCTGGGTGATTGCACCTGAGCAACCCCATGAGGAAGGAGGGGGAAGCTCAGGTATCAGGGAACGGGATCTGGAATCTTTGGGTTATACCTGCAACCAAAAAACCAGCCTGCTTTGCAGGACCTTGCATTTTTCAATGGTACACAGTAGCAACTGCTTTTTTCCAATACCGAATGAGGAATTTAAGAGCAGAGACAACGCTACTATACCTTGCACGGGTAGCTGGGTTAAATCAGTGTTTCCACCCGACTCCTCTTCTGGTTTCCTCTGTAGGCACCTACAGCCTAGGAAAGGCAAAACTAAGTTTAGGTATCCTGGCTGCCCTGGCTGCCCTGGCTGCACCTCCGCTCCTGTGAGACATGCCAATATCCTTTCTCTTACTTCAGTGAGAAGGGAGCTCCTGCCAAGTTTGGGACGGGAGGTGCAGCTTGCAGAACAGCTCCAAATCCCCCAGAGGAAGCCACAGAGATTTTCAGAGGGAGCCCTTCCAGCCGTGGGCTCTTGCTTATCCTGCTCATAATCACGGACATACCCATTAAGACCCTGCCGTCGGAGCCGGGAATAGACCAGAGTAATCCTGGTGCCCAGCAGCCTTTCCGATAGTTTTGTAATTCATGGCCGTCAGCGTGACGTCCTAATTCAGGTCATTCTGCCGGGGCACTGCCACGTGCCATACGCGGGGGTACGATCTGCCGCCCGCCGGCCCAGGCAGCCCTGCTCGCCACGCGTGCCGCAGATGTGAGGGAAGATACGCCCTATTAGATATGCTTCTGCTGTGGTGGGGGGGAGATGTTGCTGAGGCGAGACACTTCACAGTGCGTTTGGTGGGCATGAGGAACAGCACACGGGAGGTTCAGCCTGGGCACCTGGGAAGCGGAATTAGACGACCGTTAAAAGCAAATAACCTTGTTCTTCACGCAGACTTGCAGGGAAGCGCGTGCCGGGGTGCCGTGTGTGCGCGCTGGGGTGGGAGACGCACCCGGTGAAGTGGGTGAGGGTGGGGGCTTTTCCTTTTTCCTACGGTCAGGCCACTGCTTGCTTTGCACGGCTGCGCCTCCTGAGAGACGAAGCGCCTGTTAGGGGCGTGCAGCAGGACGGGTCAGAGCTGCAGAAATAACGATGGGCTGAGCAGAAGGGGCTGTTTTGCTCGGCTGGGGAAACAATTCTTGTTTGGAGGCAATACTGTAACAGCACAGTGGAGCAGCTCCCACTCCTCACTGAAGGTTTTGAGTATCAGTGAACAGCATCAGAAAGACCTGGGAGCACACAGCTGCTGAGGTGACGGGTGGGGATGCTGAAGAGGTGGGGATGACCGCAAAGCCATGGGCCTGACGGGGGAGGAAACGGGAGGAAAGCCTGGAAGGAAGTAACAGAGGATGGGAAGAAGCCTGCGCTGAGGCACAGAGGGATGTGGAGTCCACAGCGTGTGTATGGTGAGCACAGTACTTCAACTGCAAACTCGTAATGACTTGTGTGTATGTAGGGTCAAGAGAAACTGGCCAGGACATGGAGTTTGATGCTGTAACTCAGGCACGCACAAGTGCCCGAGGGACATTTCTGACCACAAGCAAGCGGCACTTCTGTTTCGTGTCTCAGCCGAGAGGCTGAGCTTCCAAACGTAATGCCGCTGGGCTGCAGTTTTTGTGCTGAGCCTGATGAAATCCCATCACTGATGAGCTCAGCAAATATGGTGATCTTGAATTATGAGTCCCCGTGAGAGCTAAAGCCACATTGTGTTTTCTCCATCGGCAATTATTGAGCAGGGTCTCTCTTTCTCCCCTGCGCTCGCTTTCTCCTTCTCCCTGCCCCCACGTGCCTGGGAAGCCTGAGATGGTGTCACCATCTGAGCATAGGCCAATCTCTTCAAAGGGCATCTGTAATCCCCTGTGCTAATCCTCCTGCAAGAGGAAGGATGCTTGTAGGCAGCACTTGCAAATCCACACCCAGAATATTAAGCTGGTTATAAAACCTGGCCTGTCATTGCGTCTGCTGACTCTTGTTTCCAAAAAAATTGTTGCAGGTGAGTAAGTTTCTCCTTCCCGTGGGCTTCCTTTGAAATGTTACTTCAGCTTAAAGTAATGCTGCTTGTTTCACGCACCTCATGAGAAGAAATGGCAGCACCTAGGGACAGCTATCATTATTCACTGCTCTAATAGTGCTGAACATGATGGGCCACATTTTCAAAATGACCTCTAAAGCTGTACAAGTCTGCGGATGCAGCAAAAGCAGGCGGCTTGATCCACGTGTGTCTGGGCATTGCCCGCTGGCCCCATGCAGGCAAGGATCCCCCAGGGCCTGGGGCATACACAGGGCCCTCAGGGGAGGACCTGAAGTTCCTTGTACCAGCACAGAGTGGGGCACACTTCGGGCATGCCCACCTGGCAAATGCAAGGGGGACTTCAGCACCAGCTCAAACACACGGTTGACACATGACTTCTGTGTTGCTCTAAAGCTCTTGAAGTGGTGTAAGTACTGTCAGGTCTGTGCTATTTCGGCTCCCTGTTGCCTTGCCCCATGTGGCAGTTCATCTGCCAGCGTGTGGAAGGGCTCCAGCTGGCTGCGGTGCAGTGATGTAGGGCTGGGACCCATCTGGCTTGCCTGGCAGCGTGAGGTGCTTCGGAGGCTGCAGGTGGCACAAAGGGAGGGATGGTGTCCCTCTCCCTGGAAGGCACTTCCACGTGTCCTGTTGACAAAGGGTTGGGTGGGCAGCAAGGGGACCGCCCGCTCCAGCTGATCTTTGGCGGGCAATCAGCTAGGCAGGTTGCCCATGCTCAGGAAATGCAATCCTATTAATGCACGCCGGGCAGGGGCGACAGCAACCCAAGGACAAAGGCCTGGCAGAAAGCTGGGACGGTGACACAGGGAGCAGCATTCGTCTGCTGCTTGTAGCCTTAGATGCATTTGCAGAGGGAGGGAAATATAATTTGGTGCTTCTGCTGTCCTCTGCCCGTTGGACATTCAGACCCTGCTCTCAGACCTTCCCACAGGAGCAGTGCTGGTAAGTGGCCACCTCCAATGAACACACACAGTGCCTTCATCTAAAGTCCTGGTTTATGACTTTGACAGAAAAGGCTCCAGCGTCCCTCACACCTCTCCCAAACCCGCTACACCTCCCCTCACCACCGATGCCACTGGGGCTGCAGCCTGAGGCTACGTGCAACCCAGAGTACCTGTGGGGACGGCCAGAAGGGGTGCACACTTACACTGGATTATGGCTGTCAGGTGTGGTGGGTTGACCCTGGTGGGACACCAGGTGCCCACCAAGCTGCTCTACCACTCCCCTCCTCAGCTGGACAGGGGAGAGAAAATGGAACGAAAGGCTTGTGGGTCGCTATAAGGACAGGGAGAGATCACTCAACAATTACGATCACACGCAAAACAGGCTCAACTTGGGGAAATTAGCTTAATTTACTACCAATCAAATCAGATTAGGGTAATGAGAAATAAAAACTGAATCTTAAAACACCTTCCCCACACCCCTCCCTTCTTCCCAGGCTCAACTTCACTCCTGACTTTCTCTACCTCCACTCCCCCCAGCAGCCCAGGGGAAC